CACACACACACACACACACACACACACACACACACACACACCCCACCTTCACAGACTCGAGACCTAGACCATCAAGGGACTCAGGCCGTATAACACATGACTGAATGATGTATTTATTGCTATGTTAGAGGCAATGCATAGGAAATGTGGCAATACCTCATTGTGGCAACAGCTATATGCCATTGGTAATAATATATTGTCTGCTATATGTCATTGGTAATAATATATTGTCTGCTATATGTCATTAAAGAGTAACTGAATGTCAAAACCTCTGTCTCTGGCGTCTGTCTCTCTTCCTTCTCGTGGAGCTGATGATCTCACAGTCAAATCCAGCATACAATCCCCGAGTAGAGCAGGACCTGTCGCTCCTCTCCCCGCGGGGATTCTAAACCCTTATCATAACCTGCTCCTGACAGGTAAGAGTCAGGGCTCGAGACACTCATGAAAGGACTGGCGATGAAGGAGTATAACTATGACCCCACAGACAGTGGGAGACGAGCACAGAGCTTTGGTCTGGTTTGCTCCACCTTGCTAGTCTTCCCTAAAGACACACATGTATTGGTTCACCTTGCATTGAGTTGTTGAGCTCAACTTGTGGTAATTTAGCCATTGAGAGAAACTCATCCAAGAACTGCTCGTGAAGTTCCTGCTGCTGCTTGCTGCTTCCTTGGCCTTGCCTTAGGCTGGCTGGTGAGCCTGGCAGTTTCTTCAGGATTGAACTACAGCTGCCTGGTGTCTGCTTGCTAAAAGGACTGGAGTGTAGCTGCTGGTTTGTGCCTTGTGTCTGCCCGCTTAGAGGACTGTCTGCAGCTGCTGAATCGTATTTGGTGTTTGCTACAGGACTGAACTGCTGCCAAAGAAGATCAAGCTCTGGGTAGTAAGACCCTGAGCCCTAGAACCCTTCTAGTAGCAGGGTACCACTCTGTGTGTGTGTGGGCTAGAGGAGCAGTTGAACCCTTATTAAAAGTAGGTTGCAAAAAATTTTTGCCTACATCTATTTCATGAATTCTCTCTCTAGCTGTGTCTAGTCTGCCAGTTAAAGAACACGCTCTCTTATTGCATAATTATGTAACATACATATGCTTATATAATATGTATTTAAAGTACTTTTACTACATTCAGCAAACATATTAAACATGCTTCACAAATATTTGTATCTTTTAATTCTTTTTGTTTTTTACTCTTTTAAGTGCTCTTAACAACTGAGTCATCTCTCCAGCCCCATTTTTGTTTTACACTTGAGATAGAATCTCACTCTGTAGCTCAGGACTCAGACTCATGGTGATTCTCTGCCTTAGCTTCCCAAGTGTTAGGATTACAGTCACAGGCTACCACACCTGGCTGCAGCTGTTAATTCTGAGTGATCCAGTGATTCCAGAAACCTGTAACTTCATTATAATACATGTGTATGCTAAGTGGCACACCCCAGTGGCATGACAGTTGTCAACTGCCATGATTATCATTGGAAGGTACCATGGAGGCCCTGGATAAAGAGGATATTTTGGTTTGGAGACTCAGCTGTGTCACTGTCTTAGGAGAGGATGCTTTGCTGAAGCAGACACATGGGAGTATGTTTTGCTGAGACTAGACATGTGGTGTTTTTCTGGAAGCTGCCTAGAAAAATTGGCATGTGATGCTTTGCTAGAGAGGATGCTTGAGAGACACGTGATGTATGGAAAGGACATAAGTATAACCCAACAGACAGCGGAGGATGCTGCGG